ACATGTCGATTAGAATAACATGTGAAATTGTTCCACAAAGATCAAACATCTGAATCAAGGAAACACCATTATTGAATGATGATGTTCAACTGGAGTTGGGAGCCTTCAGTACGTCAAGCACTATCGGCGAAGTGAACACAACCTAATGTGTACCTTTTTCATTCGACTTGATCACATTATATTTGGCTTTAATCACACTGAATCGCTTATCAGGCCCACTGTTTCTAGCAGTTTTTACCATCTCACTTGGGAAGCAGCTAAACAAGGGGTGAATAAAGGACCTAGTCACATTCAGCAAATCCTATCAAAAGATCATGCCTGGAATTAAACTATTTTGTACGACACAATCTTGTTACATGCTAGTTAAACAGAGGAACATGCTCAGAGTTTCTCACTGAAAACAGATGCTGGAGATCACAGCGGGTCAGACACATCTGTGGAGAGACAGCATGCTAATGTTTCAAGTATGACTCTTCAGAGCTGAAGCGAAACATGGAGGGGGCAGCATTTATTCTATAGTTGGATGGGGGTTGGGGGGAGGAGGGGGGAAAATGGTGTGGCAGTGGTAGTTCAGATTAAGTGATGGAATGTGAGAATGGCAGAACAATGGTGTTTCTAACTGCCAGACTGGAAACACTGGGGTGGGGGGAGGGGGAGGGGAGAGAGGACATTGTGATGGAGAATGTCACAAATAAAGCTAAAAGGGAAGAAATAGGAGAAGGTAACAAGTAAAGCTAAAAAAAAGGAAGGACTGGGAGTTGGTTCACAATTTGAAGGTGTTGAACTCAATATTAACTCCAGAAGGCTGTAAAATGCCTAATCTGAAGATGAGATGTTGTTCCTTCAGTTTGCGCTGTGATTCACTGGTGCACTGCACCATGCTGAGGACAGATAAGTGGACATATGAGCAGGACACTATGTTAAAGTGACCGGCTATGGGAAGGTCAGGGTCATGCTTGCGCACAGACCAAAAGGTGTTGTGCAAAGTGGTCACCAAGTTTGCGTTTGGCTTCTCCAATGTAGAGTAAGCCACATTGGGTGCAATGAATACAATACACAAGACTGGAGGAGGTACAGGTGAAATGCCTGGAAATATGGTTTAGGCTTTGGATGATGAGCAGGGAGGAGGTGAAAGCATAGGTGTTGCACCTTCTGCAGTTACATGGGAAGGTGGCATAGAAAAGGCGGGGGGGGGTGGGGGGGGGCGGGGTGGAGAGAGGTGGTGGTGGTGTTAGTGGTCGATGAAGGGACTAGGGTGTCCTGGAGGGAACAATCCCTGCAAAATGCAGACAAAACTAAAGAAGTAAATTTTAAAACGTCATTTTGGTTATGAAGCAGAGTGAGACAGGCTAGACTCTAGTGCTGATTACTGGGAAAGGGATAGGGAGTGGGACTGAGCTTAGTAATACTGACTTTAGGGTACACTGTGCTAGCCACAGCAGAGTTCATATGAACGGGCTGCTTTTTAGCCTGAGTTTTTCTTTGCTCCGACCCAGACCTGTGAATAGGCTTTTGAAAAGAAAGCAGGTGAGAATGGGTGTGTCATGGATTCCAATCAGTGTGGCAAGAGGCCGTTTGGCCCATTAAATGTGCATCGACATTCCAAAGAGCATCTTCCCCAGCCCCAGCCCCCATCCTATTAACATGGCTAACTCATCAAGCCTGCACATGCCTGGACACAATAGGCAATTTAGCATGGCCAATCCATTTAACCTTCACATCTTGGACTGTGGGAGGAAACCAGAGCACCCAGAGGAAACCCACACAGGCATGGGAGAATGTGCAAACTCCACACAGTCCCCCTGCCTCAGGGCTCTCACACATTCTACCTCCCTCATTTGTGGCCCCATGAATTTGGTGTGCACTTTGCCAACTCGATTGTTTCTATCGAGCAGCTTGGGAAACAGGGCCTCCGCTTCTATTGAACCTGCTGCCCGATTTGCAGCCTTTTGTTCCACATCCACCCAGCAGACATCCATCCCTCAGGTGACACACCATTGCACCCACTTGCAGTGCGTAGACCTCAGGCTGAATGAGAGGCTAATCCCTGCCCAGCTCACCTGATTTAGAGGGATAAAGGCCAAATGCTGGCAAATTGGTCTAGTTTTATTTAGGATATCTCGTTGGTATGGATGAATTGGACCGAAGGGTCTGTTTCCATGATGTATATGTCTATGATTCTAAGTTAAATCTTCACAGAAAACTTGAGTAATTCAAAAACTTTAACAGCTGGTGACTGATCAGGAGTGGCTCACTCAAGGAACCTGTAGGAGGTAAATTCATCATTTGGTACTCTGTTTTCAGACTTGGCCACAGGCAATCTTGTTAATGATTGAATGGCACTGACTGATCAAGCTGCACTAGGTTTACTGGTGATTATCCTTGGGAAGTTGCATATTTTGAACTAACTGAAAACCCAAACCAGCCTTCCACACAACTGGAGATGACCAAATCACAACTTTACAAACCTGTGCCTCAAGTTTCCAGCAGCAGTATAGAAGAGCAAATTTTTTTTTTGGAGAAAGGCTTCTGGAAGGCTAACCTGAATCCCCAACTGCTAGGAATAAAGGAAAATACAACAGATTTGACATTTAAAAAACAAACAAACAATGCTGGAAACACTCAGCAGGTTAGGCAGCATCTGCAAAGAGGGAAGTATTGTTGAAGTTTAGAGTCAAATATGCCTTTTTCAGTACTGCAGGGTTAAAAGGTGAGATGTTGTGAGGAAGAATCATTTTGACTTGAAAAATTAACTCAGTCTTCATTGGTGCGGGTAGAGCTGTTAAATATTTCCAGCACTTTGTTTTGACCCCCTGCAGTGAGATGCTGATTTCTCAGCATCTTCAGTCAGCAACACAAGCATGTCAACGGCTTGTTGCACATGCAACTGGTTGATAAAACCGGTCTAGGCCCGAAACATCAGCTTTCCTGCTCCTCTGATGCTGCTGGGCCTGCTGTGTTCCATCCAGCTCTACATCTTGTTATCTCACTTCCTATGCTTCTATTAAGATCATAGAATTCCTACAGTGTGAAAACAGGTCCTTCGGCCCAACAAGTCCACACCGATCCTCAGAGCATCCCACCCAGACCCATCCCCCTATAACCCACCAAATCTACACATCCCTAAACACTAGGGGCAATTTAGCATAGCCAATCCACTGAACCTGCACATCTTTGGACTGTGGGAGGAAACTGGAGTGCCTGGAGGAAACCCACACAGACACAGGGAGAATGTGCAAACTCCTCACAGACAGTTGCCCGAGGGTGGAATTGAACCCGGGTCCCTGGCGCTGCCAGGCAGCAGTGCTAACCATTGAGCCACCGTGCCGCCCCAAAGTAAATGGAACTCACTTACATGGTCTTGAAGTCTGACAGCAGCCACCATCTTCCACTTCAACACTTACCCAAATGGTTAAGAGATTTGGGCCGATTCTTATCCCACGCAAGAAACTTAACCAAAAAGAAAAAAGCATGTACTTCGTTTCTCAGTTCTCAAGCAATGAGGCTGTGTCCTTATTTCAGAAGCTTTAGGCACTGGTTTCCAAATAATTTTTATCCATTGAAGTCACCTGGTCAAGCTAGTAACCTGATGTGAATGTTTAAATGGCTACAGGGTAGCCTGATGGATGAGGCAAGTTACTGTATTTATCCATTTAACTTGATAGGTTTTGTTTGTACACTTTCTCTCATTGAGGTGTGCGAGAGGGGTTTATTTTTAGATGTTTTACCCGCAAGAAATTCTGAAATTACACAATTGAAACAAATGTCACCTAACATTGTACACAAATCTCTTGGACACAGAATCCTTGTGACATGAACAGGTTGCTGTTTTAAGCACTAGGTTTGCACCTCATATCATCAGTGATGTTGGAACCCACTGTGAGCACAATTTCCAACAAGCTGCAACAAACAAATGAACAGACAAGGCAAATTCATTAAATGTAGTGCAGCATCACTTTGCTGGCAAAAAGCTCAGTACTGGTATCAATTACATTTGGAACTTTGGGGAAGGGGATGGTGGTGGTGTGTGGGATAAGGGATGCAGGTGTAAAAAAGACAACTGTAATGGGGATCTTCAACTGACTTTGTGTTTTCCTGGGTCGGAGGTCAGATACAAGGTAAGTCACCAGCCTCCATCAATGACGGGGCCACTCTGAGGATTAAGAGTTGCTGTGGGGAGGAGGGAGGTGTGGCTTGCAGGCATCGTTGACAGTATTTCCACAAACTTCTCCCTCACCTTTAGACCTGCAGTTGCTCCTTTGCCCAGGCTGTCAGCTTTTGGAGCCTGGCCATTAACTGTGCAGCTCTGCCTCAACATACACAGAATCCAAGAACTTTCGCAACAGATCTTCTTGTCGTTGCACTTTCTGCCCTAAATACACATCGTCGACATCAGGTGATCCAGTTTTTAAAAAGGAATGGTACAATGTACGAAAATAAAATAAGCTGATATTTCTTGAGTTAAGATCTAGATTTGATTTAATTTTTTGGGGGCTGTGTTAAAATTTCAAATTGATCTTGTTTAGATGCTTGATAAACTACATTAGAACAGCAACTTAAAATACCTCCTTGGCTGATAAGTGCTTTAGGATGGTCTAAGGTCATAAAAAGGAACTATATAAGTGCATATTTTTCCCTCTAAGTGCAGCAGCAATGTATTCCTGGGAATGTGACATCCTTTATTGTTAACTAACCACAAAACAGAAGTAAAAATTTTCTCCATTTGTCACTTGTCTAAAATTATAAGCTTCACTCATCACAATTGAGGGAAAATTTAAACAAAAACCCAACTAACAGTAATTGGGTTTATATCACATAGGTATTCCCAGGTTCATGATTTGACGAAAGAAGATGGCCAGTATACAATGCGAGTCAAATTCCTGCACTTGTGCTTATTTGCATCGAGAAGTCCATGACCAGAAACTCTGAAGTAGGAAATCCGAGTGGAAAAAAAAATGAAGAAATATATTTTCTCCCCAAAATTTTATTGAAAATTTACAGCAATGGTAGCAAAGTAAAAAAAAACAAACATTGTATAATGGCTCAACAAGGAAAGACCTATAAATAAAATCTTGCCAGGCAGCTCCTCACTAAAGCGAGGCAAGAAGCAGAGAAATAAATAAATAGGAAATAACAGCTCAAAGCAAATGGAATTCAGACAAGTGCAATATTTCCACAGAGAGATGCAAGAAAGACAAAAGGATTTTTTTTTAAAAAAAAGACAGTAATATCAGAAATGTTAACAAGGCAAAGTCCAACTTCTGCAGCATTTCCACCTTCAGCCACTAACTTTAATCACGGTACAGTCACAAACACCAGTAACAGCAACAATATGTAGCAAGTTTATAGAAAAATGCCACTATATATTTAACATACTTTATTCCGTTGTTCATTTTTAAACAGTTTTTTTTGGGAAGCTCAGAGAAATGACAGATAAAATATAATACATGTAGAAAAAAGTTTCAAAGTTTATAATCTGCTCAGTGGTTACTGGGGGTGGACCTATCACAGTTGTACACACACGTGTGCACACAGGACCTACATAAATTCTGTAAACACAGAACTTTGAGAGGAACACAAAGATCCTCAAATCTCAGCCCTCCCATGCACTCGTCGTATTTCTTTCTATCTCTTCCCCACCCCTTCGCAAATTAGCTTGCTTCATGTTCATCTCAAAGAGATTCACTGCTGTGAAAATTAAGCAATAAAACACCAAGACTGGATATTGGTCAACCAACATTTATGATCAGAACAATTAAGATATTGTGCTACCTAGGAATTCACCAGTCAAACTGGATTTTTTTATTATTGGATTCTCTATAAGTATTCAGTCCTGAGGCAGGTAGTCTCTGCATAGGATACAGTGGAGAACGAGGATTTCAGCCCTTTGCAAGAGCTATCCAATTAATGTCACTCCCTTGCTTTTGCCCCACAGCCCTACAAAATTTCCCAAGAACCTATCCAACTCTATTTTGCGTGCAGACGGCATACACAGAACAAAAGAAAAAAAATTACCTTAACGCTTGATAGCTAATAAAATCAGTTAAAACACGGTATTAGAACAAGATGTACTTTCGTATGACCCTGTACTGAAATACAAACAACCCATTACTTGGGTGCATGTATTTGATCTTCAGAGATCTGGATGGGGCTGCAGTGAGACTGCACAGAAGCTAAAGACATTCTAATCTATAAACCCAGCTTGCTTCTTGCCAGCAATTACTTGTGAAGGAGGTGACCCGTGGCTGGATTTACTTCCAGCACATCACTCACACACATTCATACTCAAACAGCTAAACTCCATGAGCCACTTCATCCAGGAAGCTGGGCTGGTCCAGTCCTCAGCAAGGAATATGAGACCAGGGCTGTGTGCACATGATCTCTTAAAAACCCTCCATTCAAAGAAGCTGAACTACACATAGTGGTCTATCCTTGAGTGTTCAGTCTACTCACAATGCCCCACCTATGCTTCAACCAACTCACCACAGACCAGGGATTGGACACAGACCCTTTTGGCACTGTATGGCTCAGGACCACACCACAAGGTATGGCTATTTAGAGGCCTTAGCCTAGCCTCTTTTTTTTTTTTTTTAAAACATTTGTGTTCAATACAAAATCTCAAAATGCGCCCATTACATTTTCTTCACCATTTTGGTTCATGCGTAAGATAGCAGAAAGATGCTTTTGACAAGTCCAATTAGCTGAACTTAGATTCACACCCTCCCCCTCAATAAGCAAAAGCAAAATGCCTGGCAAACTATTTTTTAAAACTAGAACTGTACTGCTAAATTAAAGACAGCCCAATAAAACACTGTCATAAAGCAGTTTACAAAAAATATTCAGCTAGACAATAAAAGTGTCAAATTAATCTAAACAGCTATACTGAAGTGGTAAATAGTACATGTTTGCTGAATTCTGAGAATGGAGAACACGAAAACAGAAGCTATTAAATAAGGAGGGAAAAATTGCAGTCTTAATCCGCAAACGAGCAAAATTCAAAAACCAAACTTTTTACAACCTTTAGTCCTATTTATAAGATAACTTGCAAACACAAAATGGGGCTGTGAAGGGTTTTAAAAAAAAATCCCACACAAGCTGAACATTGCCCTTAAGAGTACAGTGTTAGTTTTCACAGTTAAAGAACAGATCTCGGCCACAGCACAAGAGTCCCTAACTCTTCTACAAGTCGCAGTCTCCTCCTCCAGAGAGCAGCCCATGAAGATACATTAAAAGAAGCTAGAGAGAAAAACACAATGAGACAGATCATCAACACTGGAAGATATTTCAGACATGTGTAGAGGACAGGATACAGAACAGAAATCCCAACAGAGAAAAAAAATTCATGGGTATGCAAATTGAGGAGGTGGGGGGGGCAGAAAAACAGGATGACAAACTTAAAATGAAAACACGCAGTGTCTGTGATTGCCATGAAAAGGTTCTTTTTAAGTGAGGAATCATTTTTTGAGGATCACATTTTCAAATAAATAAAGACACCATAGGACTGAGTTGCAACAGCTTTTAATAGCTTAAAGATATTGTAAAACATCCAGAATTAATCTGTGGAGCAAGAAAATAAGCAGCAAAAAAAAAAACCTATCTAGGTAATGGTTACAAAAAATAATCAGTGCATGACCTGCACAAATTGACTAAGAATACAATGTATAAAATATTGTACATGGCATTCTTTCATGGAGTCTCGAAACAACATAGAACCATCACAGATTCCATGAGACTGGAATGGCTGACCTGAGGAAATACAATGTCTAGCTATTAAAACACCTTAGCAAGGTTTGAAGGCAATGCTCAAAAACATTCAACTTTGCCACATTTACAAAATAAATATTGTGCAATTTAGTTTTAAAAACACAATACCCAAAAGCAATGCACTTAATGGCTGTCACATGGGCAAAAAAAAGCACATGCACTTTTTTTGGTGTACAATGTTAATCATTTAAATTCTATTAAAAGAAAGATCTTACTTTGAGCAATACAATACAAAACAAGCTTTTGTTGATCACAAAAGGCTAAGCACAAGTCTGGCTTCGTATTTAAAATGCACAGGCCAAGGCCGGTGAGCCGTATCAGAAGCTGCCCCCATCTAATATTGGCCACTGCTTACAAGAGGGAAAAACAAAGGAAAACATGTTCCATAATGACTGAGAGTCTCTAATTATTCAGTGCAGAGCCAAGGGTTACTGTAAAGAAAGAGTGCACAAATATAGACAAAAATGAATGGCAAACCTGCAAAACCCAAACGAGTCAATTCACATTTATTTGTAATTAAAATCTACATCAGCTCAAACTATTAGCTTGCACAACATTAACAATCCCTTCATAACAGAAGTGCAGTAAAAATGGAATTCTAAAAAAACCACAGGCAAACTAAATCCTTCAATGTCTAAACATTTGGGCCTTAAAAGAATAAGAAGAATTGGCCCAAAATACTCCCCATCAGAGTCCTATACTGCTCATGCACAAGCAGTAATAAAGTTCATATTATAAAACAGAATAGTATCAAAATCAGAGTTAACAAAAAAACCTTTTTTTTTAATAAAATGAGAAAAAATTAAAAATCTTCCTTGTTGCCATGAGCAGTAACAGATATACCTCCAAAACTTCCATTTATTGCACTTTTTACTTGACCTACAAACTCCTAACTTCCAGACTCTCCACCTGGGATTTTTAAATAAATGCAAATCCTTTATTTTGCTCTGTGTTCTATTATTTTTCTCCTTAGGTTAATGACCTTGAAATGAAACTCAAATCCTACCATGTCAAGTTTAAAAAAAAGTTGTTCGATATGGTTCAATAGCCTAAAACAAGAGCAGCAAACAGAGGCAGAGAAATGGTAATGAGACATAAATGGTGACAATTTCATGCAAATCACTTCCTGAGTATTCTAATGCACCTGAAAAACCATGTGGTCTAATGTTGTAATTACTGAGATGTAAACAGTCTCTGATGCTCATATGGCAGCTTGTGTGGTACCATGCAAGTACTGAAGTGGTAAACTGGGAGTCCTTTAGTCAGTTCCATACTATTTATTGCTGGATTCCTTCATTCAGCACAGCCACAGCATCAAGTTTGTACACGTGTTTACATGGAGGGCGTGGGTGGGGGAGGTAAAGAAGGGAGGGGGCAGGAGGGTGAAAAAGGGTGACCAGGAAGGGGGGGGGGGGGGACTGGAGGAGGGGGGGGGGGGGG